ATACAAGGAAACTAAAGTTAAATTCACTTTTTCGTCTATAGAGTAGCGTTTAACATCGAAGCCTTTGCTGAAGTCCGCAAATATATTTAGAGCCGAAAAGGGGTTATTGTTTTCGTGTAGCTTTAACTTGCAGTTACAAGAATACACCTTAGGATCATGCACGTAGGAATACTTTATCTGGGAAATATACATCCAACGACATATTAGTTTACTCTGTACAGTGCCTTCCACGTCTGAAACGTCGTGGGAGTACTAATTTAAGAAATCCAGTCAATGCCTCAGTCGGGATACGCCGAACCTTTCCCCTGACGGGTACTACAAGATAATGTGCCCCTTTTAATTTCCCGATATTAGACACATTTTGGACAGTTAGCCGTTCTAACGTTCGTTTTTTCCTTCTATTTCCCTGTAGTCGCTTGTTGGTCTTGCCGGAGGTGCTACGCGGGCCGCTGTCACGCAGCACCAAGCCCTCCAGAACAATATGGCCGACGTTGCCGCAAAGGATGCCAGTCAAGTAACAAAAATCACTTTACTCATATCGTCCTCCTTGTGTCTCTTCTTTTATACATTGTGCTTCCTCTCTCCGTTCGTTTTCAGGAAACCCTGTCAAATTTCCTCGCCCTCCTTTTAAACTTTATCCTCGTCTACCTGGTCACGGGCAACTGGCTGTAGGTTGATTGCGGAATTTTGTCTATGAATTAATGCATTGGACACGTAAGGGTTTCGAAAGCAGACTAGACACAGACTTATATCCTAGTAAGGATCGTAGGAAACGTTTGCGTATTTCTCCCCTTTTCAACTGCTAGAAAAAATATCACTTCTCTTGAAAGGGTCTTAGACCAAAAGAAAGTAAAGTATTAAATACTGACTACTTAAATGTTGTAAGTAGTTACTGATAACATGACTGCTTTTAAATATATTTCCCTTGCCCAATCATGCACATTGTTTGATTTCTTACGGTGATTTATATCCGATAGTTTGACAGTCGATGTCCGCACTTAATTCTTTTAAACCGTTTCAGGCTCATTTGGCTGACCTTCTGGATCTTGACACCACTTCACCTCTATGCGAATTGGCGAGCCGTTCGCTGTTTGCAATTTCGCACCTTAAATAAGGCCAGATTTCATATTGTCACTCAGGATTGGCTTACTCGTATGTCTACTGGGCAGCACATAGATAAGCCCCTGCCCTCCGTGCAGGAAGTCAACCACCTTGAACGCATAGTCAGCATACCCTTTGTGACTTCGTATGGTTTCTCTGTCCGCTTGGGCTGCAGTTTCACGTCGCTTTCACGCGCTGCTGGGTAAGTTTTAAAGAAAATCACCAACTTGTTATTGCATGTTGACTACGTCAAAATAAGACATTTTACTACCATGCTTCCTCTTCCACCGTTTCCTCCTCCAACTCCTCCTCCTCCTCCTCCTCCTCCTCCCAACTTGTTTTCAGGAACTTTGAAGCTATCTTCATAAACAATCTGTCCGTAAGCGCCGACCATAACCCACTGACTAATCATAGCACGTGCCTCCGCACATTGTACCCTCAGTTTTTCGCCAATTTCAATAGTTCCTCGGATCGCTAGCTAGCGCTGTTGGTTAGAAAACCAGCTTCATACACGTTATAGTCTCTGAAAACCAGCCTCTTGTTTCTATTTTCACGAAGGGAAAAATAAATATTCAGGATACGCCGACCGGTCCTGTGCGCCCAAAAGAACTTCGTCCAGGCGCTGCAGTTACCATGGTCAAAAGCTGCTAATTCAACAGCCAGCAGCTTAGCACCTCAGCCGACTACCAGTTCCCCCTAACACTGATTAGATTTTGAACCCCTTTCCTCCCCCCATCCCCCCTGCCCTGACAACCGTTCTATTTTTATCTACCAACCCGCGTAGTTCATTTACTTGATTACCATATAAACGTAAAGGCCTGATGAGAATTATCGAAAGCAAACGTATGTTCGCCATTTCATCTTCTGAACTATTCATTTTTTTAAAACTGCGAACATTCCCATTAGAGAATTCAGAAGAGG